TGGCGCTTAACCAACGAAGCTACCCAGGGACCCCTTGAGTCCCTCTTTTGAATGGGAGGATTGAAAATCTTGCAAGAGGATTAAGAGGAAGGCTCTGGGTTAGTGTCCTGCCACCCTGCTCTTTGCCTGCTGGGGGGCAAGAAGCCCCTTTGCTGCACCTTGCTCTTTAAAACTCCTTTGTGTGTATTATGTTGCCAGGTAAACCTTTAGCACATTGAAAGAGAACAGTTCATTGACCTGATGAGACCCAGAAGTAAATGTATGCATTATATCTTAATATAGACACGTTTTTCTTCTCTCCTGAATGGCACGAACGTGATGATCAGTATGGATTTTGAATCATCGTGATGCAACATCAGTACTTCTTTTAGAACTAGAGCTTAGCCTCACTCCCACCTTTATTCTTGTCCATTCTGCAGACCCTGCACGGAATCTAACTGATGATGTTCAGGGATTCCAAAATACAGACGTTCACGTAGCCTTTCCATTCTTCGAGTTGCTGTCTTCCTCCTTCCCTCCTTCTCATCCCTCAGTCCTCCCCTCCTTCTTCCCCACTTCTCTTCTTTCCCCTTCCGAGTCTGTCCCTCCCCTGCCCCCTTCCTCTCTTCATTTCCCTCTCCCCCTTTCCAGGAGCTTCTGCCATCTCTAGAAAACGCATTCCATTTCCCTTCTTTCATGGCACATGAGCAGTGAGAAAGAGGATCTTTCCTTTCAGATGGGGGAAACCCACACCCCCTCTGACATCATTTTCCTAAAAGTGATTTCGCCATTAACTTTTCTTCTCTTCTCCCCATAGAAGTAGAAATACATTTTACAAAACTATGTTTAGTTTAATTTACACATCCTTTCATGAACAGACCAAGTTCTTTAAGGGCATTTATTCTGCTTCATATAAATAATTGATCAGCCGAGTTAATTTACTTCTGCCTGACTTGGTCAACCTTAATTAACTGCCCTGGAATCAAGACTGAACTTTTTGTTAGCTTAAAACCTTTCACAAGCATATGATAACAAGGGCTTTATTTTCCCTAAATTTTCAGCATCAACACTGTAACCAAGGAAATAATCATAATAATAAAGCATTGCTTTAATTTACTATAAATACATTGGCCTGGACCTTATGAATTTTCCAGAATACTTCCAGAGTATGCTCTGTTGGCAGCGACAGTAAACTAGCACACTAAACTCTGTTCTTACCCCTTTCTCCATGTCCCTTCAGCACAAAAATCGATCTTTTGAAATCAGTAGCTCTGTCATGTTTATAGGCAAGACAAGAAGTGGGCCATCCTGGCTCCTAAGCTTTCTGACACCCATGTGATTGCGGCATCAGCCTTGTTAGGCTTGTGGTGAGTGGATCCTCTGTGACTTAAACACGCCAGGCTCACTCAGAGGAGCCACAGAGGAAGCCAGAGGACGATTTGTCGTTGCTTCTGTAGGGGCTTGTTGGCGGGTACGGGGTGGTCGTGTCCACCAGGCGTATGCCTTCCTAGCCACGCACTTGGGATGATTGTGTATCATTTCTCATTCTCGATTTGCCGCGGAGCAAAGCAGCTCCTTGGGTACCGGGAGCCCCAGAGGGAAGCGGAGGGTCTACAGCTGAGCATCTTGAGACGGGATCCCTCTAAGAAAAGAGGCTTCGGCAATAGAGAGCACACACGCCTCTCGTATACACCGACCTGCTTTCAGACGTGATCCGCAAATGGTGAAACTCGCTAGAAAAAGACAAATAGAGTTGTTTGCTGAAGAACGCTGCCACTTTCAGCTTTGTATTTTAGATGCTTTCATTGTCCGCTGCGACCTTGTTATTGTCTTTTCGGGGATCACTTCGTTTTCTTTTCATTGATTGACTAATTCACTCCCTGGCACAGGACTTTGCAAATGGGGAATTCTCTGCCACTTAGCAGATGGACAAGTCCATGTCTGAAATGGGAAATGATCATGGCTGCAGCTTTTTCCTTGACCTACTGAGCTCTAGCTTTCTTATCTGTAAAATGGGGATAAACTTCACCTGCCTCTTCTCCCCGAGGAACTCGTTACGAGTTTGAAGAGTACCTCAGAGAGCCTTGTAGTTTGTGAAAAGTGCTGTACAGACATAAAGGCTTATTAAATGGCTTGGAACATTCCATAGAAAGAAATATTGCCAGCCCAGATATTGTTAGAAATGTTCTTAGACATCGACGCTCCTAATTTTTCACATGTGCTTTTCAAAAAGCTGTTTTCTCCTGATTGGTGTGGGAGATTATGGGAAATTTTAAATCTTGCAACCTACATACTACTGTTAGCACTTGACTAATTAAGGACATCCTCAGACCAAAATAATCCTTTCTGCAATTTCGGTCCCAATGCCTGCACTCTCACAGACCCGATTTGCAAGCCAAGTTGCTTGGCGTCATGCCTGCAAAACTTCTCCTAGAGGACTTGGCAGTCTGCTTGGAACTGTGCAGAGCAAAACCTTCCCCTCACATTGTGGATAGGAGATTGCCCTTACGCCACCCACCCACCGCCGCTGCCGCGTCAAACCAAGGAAGCCGAAGCAGGGCCAGTGTCTCAGACACCTGTTCTGAGGGCAGGCGAGCCCGTGGCCACAGGCTTTGTAAGCCTCCTGTGTCTCTGCTCCCCGGGGACATGACATTTGGCCAAATATGTCCCATTCCAAGAGCAGGTATAGATTTTACAGTAAGCAAGATTTCTGTCTTTTGTCTTTTGTTCCCTATTCCCTAATATGAACAGGCTTTCCAGAAAGTTAAAAAAAAAAAAAAAAAGTTTCTGTTTTTTCTTTACGTATGCTTGTGACATACCCTGAGAATTTATTGAGTTCCTTTGTTAACTACTCTAAGACCACCATTTTCTCCCTTAAATACCTAACCACTGTCTTTTTCCTTTGTTTCTCTACAAATGGGCATGTTTGTGAAACAGAAACTGAAACATTGGAGGGGGAATAAAAAAAAAAAACCCTCAGTGTCACAGATTAATTCCTTTTTTGGCAACGAACAAGGTACTTGCATTGCCTGGTTCTTATATCTTAGAGAAAGTTTTACTTGTATTTTTGATAGATTTTATACTCTGCGGACAGTAAGGATACGAATGCCCTCCTTAAAGGACTCTAATTACTGGAAAGTCTGATCTAAGGAGAAGAGAGTGAATCAGCTGTTGCTTCTGACTTTGTTTCCCACCTGTTAACAAAAAAATGCCATTCTTAATCCCCTCCAGAACGGAATTAACTTTAAAAAATAAGTCTTCTGGGTTTATACAGTTTGTACTCAAGTTGGAGCATACCACGCACCAAAAGGAAATGAAGAAAGATGTCAATTCTTCTGCTTTTAATTTTTCATTAGATGTTCATGAAAGTCTATAGAAAAGGGACTTAGCCCAACTTCTAGGGAGAGGACAGCCTCCTGTAAAGGTATCCCAACTGTTTTAATTTTCCTGCTGTCACATATTTCGTGTAGAGGCAAGAAGTCTATAGGGCTGGTTAATAATAATCTCTCCTCATGATACAAAAAGATTTGTGTTGAAAGTTTTCAGCCATTGTATCCGAGGTTGGTATTTCACATTAACGTTTTAATATTCAGACATTTCTCAGCTCTGGTGTTTGAACTGGCAAGCCCTTTGGTGACTGTTGTCTTTCCTACTCGAAGTCCTAGTCTCTGAATTCAGAGTACATTCTGCCATTTCCATCGTTAGCTCCCCACTGCATCCCAGCTTTGGGAAAACACATAGTTAGGAACTTTGACATCAGACCAAACTTGTTTAAATCCTGACTGAACCATGGCCGGCTGAGATTTCTGCTGGGCAAATTAAAATAGTTCTCAGGGAACCCCGGTTTTCTCATCTGCAAACTTGAGACACCGGTTGCATTCAGAACGGAACTGGTGAATATACATACATCACCTGCAGGATGGCTTGGTGACACACTGGTGAGCAGTAGATGGTAACAGTTGCTACTAGTAAACATGATTATCTTTTGTCATCGTCAGACGGCTTTGCTGAGAGGTGAATTAGCTGCCTAGGAGAATGGTTTTGTACCTAGAGAGTAACTAGGCAGAATGTGGAATGTATTTACATGCAGTTGATATCCTCCAGGTATTTACCTTGCACTATATGTATTGTATAGTATATGTGTGTGTGTGTGTCTTATTAGACATTTTGTACTTTCAAATTCAGACCTTTTTTTGGTCAGCCTGCCTAGGCCAGATTTTTTCCAAAATAAATATAAGAAGGGCCAGACTTTTCAGGCCTTAAAATCAAACTAGAGTTTACTCATCCAGCGTGAGAAACACCTTTGAATGGGATTTCTTAGGACACTTTTAACCCCAGGACAGAGATCGGGGTCTGAATTTACGGAGACTGTGAAAAGCAGGGATTCTTTTCTAACTGTGGCCTGTGTTACTGGAATTGCCAGTGTTGAAGACTTTTCAGTACCTGAGTGATTCCGAGGAGTCTGAATCTTGAAATGTTCTTCTTGAAATGTTCTTCGGCTTTTGACCCTAAGGGTTTTCAGCTCGAATTACCTCGGGGGGCCTCCCTGTGGCGTGTCACATCTTGATAGACTGAAGTTGGAGAAGATTTCTCCAGGAGTGTGTAGCATCCCCACACACATCCTGCACGTAGTAAAATTTAACGTTACACCTAATATGCTGCACAGAACGACTTTCTGGTTTTTGAGCAGAACATCGAGATACAATCACAGAAATGTGGCCATAAATCCTGAATTCGCCCAAAAGTCTTTGTTCTCCCCCCTAAGGGGGAAAAGCCTATTTAAAGGACTGCTTACTACTAAAACTTGCATTTGGCCTGACACCTCCGTCCTCAAAAAACCAGGGGACTGGGCCGCTGGCATGGCCAGGCCGAGTGAAAGAAAATGACAACTGCTTACGGAGTTCGGTGGCTTGGAAGGCGGGCAGGGCCCGTCCCCGGGTGCGCGACAACTGTTTTAACAGCTGCTTTTTTCTTTCTCCCCCGCTCCCCCACCCCCCCCTCCCCGAAAATCCCTCTCTCAGGTTTTTGAGTCATGATGCAAGAATCTGGGACTGAGACAAAAAGTAACGGTTCAGCCATCCAGAACGGGTCGAGCGGCGGCAACCACCTGCTCCCGTGCGCCGGGCTTCGCGAAGGGCGGTCCAACGGGGAGACGCCGGCCGCCGACGCGGGGGCGGCCGACCTCGCGCACGTGCAGCAACAGCAGCAGCAGGTACTGTGCCCGCGGCGCGTGCCCTGCGCCCTGGGCGCGCGCTCCCCGCAGCCCTTCCGCGCTCGCGCGCTCCCCGGCCTGGCAGTCCGCCCGCCCCGCCGCTCATTGGCGGGGACTGCTTCTTCTCGAGTCCTTGGGAGTTCCCCCACCCCGGCTCCTTCCTGGGGGGCGCTTGGTAACCGTGAGGTGGATGGACCCCCTCCACCCAGGGCACCCGCCCCTCCTCCACCCCGCCCCCCCCCCCCCCCCCCCCCCCCCCCCCCCCCCCCCCCCCCCCCCCCCCCCCAGCCCGAACTGTGTGCGCGGGAAGGTGCCCTACTGGGAATACAATGTCTCTTCGGGAGAATGGGTCCCTGTGCTTGAATTAAACAGTAATAATAATAATAAACAGGCTTGTGAAGCCTTGTGAAGAAAGGCACAAAATAAGGGATCCTAGAGAGAGTAGGAGAAAAAGGAGAACAGCAACCCAGGCTGACGTGGGTAAATAAGAAACAACAGTAGCACAGACATGCTGCCTGTAGGAAGTTAGGGGTCCGGGCCACCAATGTATGTGACTTGGGGACACACAGCAGTTGGTGTGTAGCTAAATCCTGTTAATGGTTTCAATGACCTCTTATTGATGGCTCCCCAAAATGCACATCAATTGGGACACAGTCCTTCTTGTCACATTCTTTGCAGGCATGGCAGCGGTGTGATTAAATGTTTCCAAATGGTAAAGGTGACCCAGAAAGTGGTGTTGTGTGGCCAAAGGGTGGAGGGAAATTCAAGTCAGTAAATAGCATCCACTCAGGGACAGGATTGCCTCTCCAGCGTCTCTTGGGATCAGGAAATAGGATTTGTTTTTGTGAATGATAATGGATGCTTTCTGTTCCATTTGAGTCCTTGATTCGTTTATTCAGTACGTAGTTAAGGTACCTTTGCAAAAGGCTGAAAAAAGAACGATGCGTCTTTGGGCCTTTCTGAGACAAACAAATAGTTGGGAGATGAGGAGGAGGAGGCTGAACCTTTTCTCAAACTATGTTCTTGGAATCTGTATCAGAGAAGTAAAAGGGAATCCCTTTTTGTATTAGATGATAGAGCCTTTGCCAGACTCTCAGCGTGTTTTGTTTTCCCCTTGCTAAGAATTTTTTAAAATACAAAGAATCATTACGTTGTTAGTCTGTTAGAAGTTAGTGACGTTGATCTAAGACCATGAGACCTGCTGGGGGAAAGGTAGACAATGGAGAGAAAGAAAGGGAAAGTAACAGACGGGATGAGGTCCTGATTCAGGAGGCTTCATCTGAGTGACTTGGCCTCTCTCACGGGTAGCCCAGACCCTTCTGTGCATGCACCTTGGTTATCTCATCAGCTGGGACTCACGATGCAGGTTGTGTGCAACGTTTGTGCACTTAAATGAATGCAAATAGCTGGATTCTAACCACCGAGGTTCACAGAACATATCCTTAAATGGTAGAAAGGTACCTGTGTATGTATGTATCGTTCTTGTGGTGTTCTCGGATATTTATGGTTATTGAGAAGGAACAGTTGGCATTTTGGAGTGCCATTTTCTATGCCCTTACCCTACAGAGACTAAGATCACCTGGGTCATTATGGACCAGCTGAGGTGGGGCTCTTGACCTATGCGGCGTGAACTCCACATACTTAGTATTTAGGGTACATTAAATAAACGGGAAGTTCCCTTCTTTGGGGTTTTATATGAAAAACTGAAAATAATTTACTGTCTTAACTGACTGAGCCACCCAGGGAACCCCAATAATTTACTGTCTTAAAGTAGCAAGTCAGCCAAAGTCTTTATACCATCAACATGCATGCGCACACACGGGCACGCACACATACCTACACCAATAACAGCAACAACACGTTGGCCTCATAGAAGACAGTTTCGAAAGTGCATTTTAACAGCATCTTCCTTAAAAACCATCAGTAAAAATTAGTTATTTACACACCTCCCCTCTTTATCTTAGCTGTGACCACGTTGAAAAATAGGCTGTTAGGGATGTCAGAACCTTTTGGTTGCACTTTGAGACTCTTTTTAAATACTTTTTGTAACAGTTTTATTTTTATTTGTCATTGATACGATTTAGGAGGAAACCGAGTAGTTGGGTTTACCATCGTGGCTAAAACCCTACATCTTGCGGTTGGCAGGCCTTTTCAGTCTTTTAAAATAAAATACTGACAGCTGTTCGACCCCTCCGAGTGTACAGTGAAGTTCTTAACAGGTTTTTGGAGGACAAGAAATTCTGTAGACGAACTGAGAAAAACACTATAGTGTTGAGACACGTTTCGCGGGACGAGCATTATCACAGCATCTTTCGAGCCTGAAAACTGCAACAATTAAGCACTTTCGAGAAACGTGGGGGCCAACGTGATGGACTTGGGTTGTTTTCGTCATTCTTATTCTACAGGTTTTTACTTGAAGTGAGAATACCAGCAGTGAGAAAATCACAGCCATGCTGAATTCATTACTGCGGTAGTCACACAAAACCACGGATAAAATTTCAATAACTGCAGGCCACAGTTGAGTAAACAGTTGCACTGAAATTTAATTCCTGTTGACTTTTCCCCCATTCCTCGCCAGGGGCACATTCTGATTCTGTAGCACAAAGACAACAGGGGTTACAGCTTTGATTAATGTAGGACAGTGGAAGAGAATTAGAACTGTAAGATATGTTAGAAGCCCATGGAACAAAAAGATGTGGCTTAAAAGGGCTTGGTATGAAAATGAGTTAATTATGCTGCGTGTAACACTGAACGTTATAGGATTTTCCAGTTGCACCAGTGCCATCGTTGATGATATAGGGAGAATTTTTACCTAGTGCCAGGACTTTAAATAAATGCAAGCCTTTCCGTGTTTGATTCTTATTACCAAAGATAATTACAAATGATAGCAAGTGCCCTTTCAGAACGGAGAGCTTTCACAAAGATTAGCTGTGGAATGAGCAACTTCTGTGCTGGAATCGGTCTGTAGGTTGGCTACATTAGGTCCAAACAGAATAGTTAGGAAAAAAATGTGCATAGCTGAAAGCCTCGAAACGTGGGGGGCATCTGGCTTTTCCATCTTCTCTTGAGAAACCACAAGGCCTGGCTGCCGTAGACCAGGACCCCTATGAGGGCAGCAGTTGTTAGTGGATGAGTTGCTCCTGAAGTCAGCAAGCCTGCAGCTGTCCAGTCGGCCCCAGCTCCCACCCAGCAACAGGCACTCCTTCGTGGCCCTTTAGGCAGTGGCTCTGGTGGTTCTCCAAGGTGCCATCATCACTCAGAAGCCACCACCCAGGGAGAGGTGCCGCCATGAGCTGGTGGAGCTCACCAACACCCCCCCCCCCCCCCCCCCCGCAACTGTCTTCCTTCCTTGGAACTAAACGTATTATCTCTGTACTGTTTCAGCCCGATTTCTCTCCAGGCCCTGAAACTATTAGAACAATAGTTTTCTAATCATATAATTTGATAGAGTTTCCGAACATCTCTTTGAGCCACCGGGTCATTCTTCACCCGATACCATAACTGCTTTTTATTTCCTCTTACGCCTGCCCGGTCTCCGGGTCTGTAAAAGTTCTGTATCGGAGATGCACTACTCCATTAGGAAACTCAGCAACAAATACTATTACCAATTACTCAAGTTTTTTCTTCCTAAAGAAAGGATTTTAAAATGTCCAGAGCAATTTTGTAAACTGTGTGGATTAATGCGTTTTAAAAGTCTTGAATTTTAGAAAGCAGAATTTTATTTCCATATTGCTGCAAATGAGAGCTTTTTCAGATAAGCATATTACATAGAGCATAATGTTTAGAAGTTTCCCCATATACAGCATATGCTGTCAGGTCAATTAACAGAATGCATACTAGAAAATGTTTATTCAATAAAAATGAATAGCTGTTAAATAAAACAGCTATTTCTTAACAACATTCCATTTAATGATGGGGTTTTTTTTTTGGGTACCACCTGGCAGTTTTATTGTCTGCAAATCAGTATAGAGAGAGCTTTAGTTGCCGTGGTTTTGAGGTGTGGCCATTGTTTTCTAGGAGGAGGGCAGTTGAGAGTTGGTCTGTGAGAAAAACAGAAAACAAAAAGATAAACCGTATATGGGGTTTGAATATGGATTCTTTAGAGAGTGTGAATAAGTGAAGTAGTCCTCTCATCCACTGACATTGGTTCTTTGACATTTGGCATAAGGTGTTGGACCTGTTGGCCAGAAAGATGCGTACGTACCGTCAACGCACGTATCTGTGTACATGCTTCCTGTTATTAATGTAAAAAAAAAAAAGAAAACCTTGAACGAGTACTGAGGGCTTAAGAGAGGTATAAAGACCAGGTGTGTTCAGAAACATCACGAGAGGGAGGAAAGATTCGGTGGGTAGCATTTTGGGAGTGAGGTGAAAGATGAGTCCCTGCCCAGGGCCAGAGAAGCCCAGAGAAACAGGGCGAGTGTGAGAGAGCTCAAGAAGGAAATCTGGCTGTGGACATTCACAGAGGATGTGGAAAATACACTCTCCAAGAGGCACGGGAGAATCATGAGTCTGTATCCTGGGGTCCTCTGAATGTGAGAAACCAAACCGTCATGACCAGAGCTTCGTGAACGCTTGAGCATAAACCAATATACGGCAATTAAAAATTCTCCTCTTCGCTTTCAAAATGGCAGAATGAATCTCTTCGTTTTGTTGTTGTTACTGAAATGACTAGTGGAGAGTAAGCAAAAGAGAGAGGTTGTCCTGCTATCGTTTTCAGGTTTAAGTGCCTCTATGGAAAACAGTGCCTGGAATTAGTAGCTGTCAGTGTTCAGATGGCCAGTAAGCTCACAGGGAAGAAAACATTTCTGTGCTTCTCATTCTTCCCCATATTCCTTTGTGGGAACCATGCTGCCTTTATAGCGTTCATCGCCCGCCTCATTCCTCACTCTGTAGAAGGAAGTTCAAGTGATTAGGTGCGGACTGGTATGAAGGACAGTTGGCAGTAGCCAGTTGGGCCTTACCATTCTTCCCTTTGTGAAACGTTGCTTTATTTAACA